CACTACGTACCATGTATTTGACGCACACACGCATGCATACTATATTTATTGACAAGCTTTTGTTCTTGACGTCTGTTGTCAAATCGAGAATAGATTAAATATTATTTGTCTTTGTTAATATTTTTATAGGGTGGTCTTGGCGAAATTTGTGAGTATAGAAATATAAAATACAATCATAATAGTGTACAAACTTATAATTCCAATTAATTATAGTCGAATTTCGACTACTGCGGGACCTCTAGTGATTTTTAATTCTCGTTTTAATGAAGTTTTAAATGAGATATAACCAATGGTGTCGTTATGTTATAACCGATGTAACGTTTCGTATTTTAATTTGGTAAAGTATTCAAAAAGCTGTCGACTCTTCTTCTCTAATCCCATTCTTATGTTCGTTCCGTATCATGTAGGCCTTTCGCTCGGAGAGTCCTCGGTATCAAATAAATATTCAGAGACCGGAAAGGCATTACGTGCATTTTTTTAAACATCTGTTAAACTTATTCCTGTTATGACTACAGTCTTCGGTCGTGTGAAACGTTTGTATCACACAACATTAAATAATCATAATGAATCCTGTTATCGCCTCAACAAACTTTCACGTCAATGTATTTCCGCTCGCTCTTAACAAACCTTCCAACTATTGACGGCTCCAATGAATTGTGAAGCATTTATATGTACATCCTATAATGTACGAAGTTCTCGGATGCTAATATATTTTTTTAACTCTTAAAAAATATCAAAACTAACTTTTGGATTTCTTGTAAGATGATTTTGTTCAGAATTCTTTAACTACCCTAGACCCCATGGTCCAATGGTCCAGGTCTCGACTGAGCTCGCACTCGTCTATTTGGCCTGGTGAAACTAGAAAGTCCTTCGAGCCACCAGTAACTCTTCCATCATAAAAAAAGAGGTAGCTAACCTTCAAACTAACAAGGAAGTCGAATCTATTCTGACATGTTCTTACCTCGACTTAGTCGCTGCCTATGATCATATATATTATTATAATACAACTTTATTTTCAGTTCTTTGCGGTATCAAGTGTGGCTCTCAACGTAATGTCATACGGCATGGTTTTCGGATTTAACGCATCACTGTTCTCAGACTTGAGGAAGAGTCGAGAGATANTAACCTTCAAACTAACAAGGAAGTCGAATCTATTCTGACATGTTCTTACCTCGACTTAGTCGCTGCCTATGATCATATATATTATTATAATACAACTTTATTTTCAGTTCTTTGCGGTATCAAGTGTGGCTCTCAACGTAATGTCATACGGCATGGTTTTCGGATTTAACGCATCACTGTTCTCAGACTTGAGGAAGAGTCGAGAGATACCCTTGGACAGGGATTTAGAGTCATGGTTGGGTATGGGAAATTTATATAGCAGTCCCAAAGTGATATGCAAATAATTCTGAGACATACATGTTTATTTATAGAAGATCACTAGACATAGACAATACCATAATATTATGATATTATTATATAATATTATGATAATATATAGTGAAGTCGTTGTGGTCTAAAGGATAAGACGTCCGGTGCATTCGTATGTAGCAATGCACCGGTGTTCGAATCCCGCAGGCGGGTAGCAATTTTTCTAATGAAATATGTACTCAACAAATGTTCACGATTGACTTCCACGGTGAATGAATAACATCGTGTAATAAAAAAATCAAACCCGCACAAGTATAATTTGCGTAATCACTGGTGGTAGGACCTCTTGGGAGTCCGCACGGGTAGGTAGGTACCACCACCCCGCCTATTTCCGCCGTGAAGCAGTAATGCATTTCGGTTCGAAGGGTGGGGTAGCCGTTCTAACTATACTGAGATCTTAGAACTTATATCTCGAGGTGGGTGGCGCATTTACGTTGTAGATGTCTATGGGCTGCAGTAACCACTTAACACCAGGTGGGCATCCCTCCATATAAGCAATAATAAAAAAATGTATTGTAATTGTACTTTGACTACAATTCTAATGTCGAAATGTTTTCTTTCAGCATCACTGATCGGAATAACTACACTAATAGGATGTTTCTCCACCTCAATAATCATAGACACAATTGGCAGAAGACCTGCACTTCTCATCAGCTCAACCCTCATGGTCAGCGGTTGGATAGCATTCAGTTTGGCCTCATCATTTCCTGCCTTACTATTAGCAAAGATATTTCAAGGAATGTCTATCGGTCTTGGGACCACAATGGGCGGTATTTTGATTGCAGAATACAGCAGTCCAAAATACCGTGGATCTTTTATAGCAACAATACCTGCTGCGTTGTTAGTTGGTGTTTTATCTTCACATACACTTGGTTTGTTTTACAACTGGTTTCAAATTGCGATAATCCTTTTGTTTTTTTCTTTACCCGGATTGATAATTGCTGTATTTACACCGGAATCACCGACTTTTCTGGCAACTAAAGGACGTTACAATGAATGCAGAAAGGTTTTTCGCTGGCTGAGGGGTTCAGAGGATGATGACGAACTGGAGAAAATGATCGAAGCCGATATGATCGTTAAAGAAGCCAAGAAAAGTTGTAAAAATAACTTATCAAAACTAATTAAGCAAAATTTAACGTACTTTGTCACGTCATTCAAAAAGCGTGAATTTTACATTCCAATCTTTATAGTGGTACATTTAAATGTTATTAATCAATTCTCTGGTGGTATTATCCATGATTCGTACCCTATGGACATTCACACAGCATTATATGGTACGGATATTTACATGTTTAGAGTAATTGCATCGTTGGATTTGCAAAAAATATTCGCTACTTTTTTAACAATTTATTTAACGTCTAGAATAAGAAGGCGTCCACTCTACCTCACAATTGTAGGACTGAATATACTATCGTTGCTGTGTGAGGCCGGATACATATACGCTAGGCGTCACAATCTTCTACCTTTTGACCATATATCTATTGTGATCTTTTTGCAACATTTCCATATGTTCACCAGCGGAGCTGGCGGTACTTCTTTAACCGCAATAATTAGTAATGAATTATATCCAATGCAAAATAGGGGTTTGTGTGGGATGATTTGTGGTGCATTTTTTTCGATTTACATGTTTTTAAACATCAAGTCCGCGACGTATCTATTCTCTCTGATTGGTGTAGATGGAACGTTTTGTGCCTATGCAGCGCTGCTGTTTTATAGCCTGGTCGTGTTTTATTATATGGTACCGGAAACTAAAGATAAGACTCTTCAAGAAATAGAAGATAATCTCCGAGGATATTCTATAGCTCGTCGTGATGAAACTTTAAAATTAAAAGACGCTGAACTATGAGAAAGTCAAGCGAAATTTATTCGACCCACCTTTTTTTTAAATCGTTCACATGATTAACATAATATACTGTAATTTTTTACTTTCATCAAACATGAGCTAAAGTTAAAACAAGTATTTCTCAATTTTGTAATGATTTGGCTATGCAATGTTTATTAATAAGTAAAATTTAAATTTGTAAATAGATATCGTTGTGTATTTCGGAAATCATTCATTTACGTTCAAGAAACATGTGAACCAAATTACTGGCAGGTGTAGGTGTGGAATGCCCACTTTTTTTCATTCCACCATGAATTGGAAATTGGTCGAAAATCGGCAACCCATCCAAACAATTCGTCGCTATCACACGCTCGAGAACACAAATATCAACATTAACCTCGTCATAATAGTTTGGACATAACATAGGAGGAAGCTAGTGCAAAAACTGGACCAAGGTGGTCACGACCCGTAGTAATGAGGACGCGACGAAGAAGAGGAATAGTTTGATGATTTTGCGAAAAGTCTCTTCCTTTTTTTCTCTTTTCTGGACTATTATTGTATCATTCATCAATTACTATTACTGTTGAATAGCACATTAAAAATAATAACGAGAAAAAAGAAAATGTAAAGTAAATGTAAGTACCGTTTGGCTGTCACATCTCATTATTGCCTTATGTGCCTTTGTACATAATTTTCCTATTACTCTGTACTGTGTCTTGTTTTCTGTGTGTACATAAATAAATAAATAAAAATAAAATAAATATTGTGTAATAAATGATTTAATATTAAAACTTTTTTGCATTTTGATTAATCTCATTTACGGGAGAGAAGCTTGAGCGTGCTGAATGCGGGATTGCTTAACACTTTTCATTCTTTTAGATTTCTACAAGAGTCGTCATTTTTTTAACTATTTTTTTACCCATCCACGCGGACTCACAAGAGGTTCTGCCACCAGTAATGTACCGGACGTCTTATGCCTTAGGCCACGACGACAACGTTTGAGCTAGCGCTCCGAAAATAGGATATTGTTTCGTTCTACTCGTCAAACTGCAACTTGGCTGGCATTTAGAAAGAGGGGCTTGCATTTGACGTCGTAAAAAACAATTGTATTCTATTCCATCGTAACGAACGAATATAATGTTGTTTCCTACCATTTTTCTATTCATTTTCTGCGCTCCTGTGCTTTATCAATGTTAAATACTAGTTTATATTATTAACTACGCGCAGATGAATAGGTGAGTACACGGGCTCGAGCTGAATGAGGGTATTTGCTAACACAAACCTTAGCAAGAGCATCTACCACCCAAGCTACTTCGCTGAATCTACCACTGGACTTGCAAGTTGCAAGGACTACATTTACATATTGCAGTTAGAAAACAATCTCAACAGAAAGCGGTATAGCAACTTCATTCTCTTAGTTTGGAGTTGAAGCGTGAACTAATCCCACTTTATTAAATATTCATAAGCGTTTATCTAATAGTTTATGTAAACTTTGTGTATGTATGTTTTGTACTTTATGTATGTATTATGTAATCTGATATTTTACTGATGGTAGGACCTCTTGTGAGTCCGCGCGGGTAGGTACCACTGCCCTGCCTATTTGTGCCGTGAAGCAGTAAAGCGTTTCGGTTTGAAGGGTGGGGCAGCCGTTGTAACTATACTGAGATCTTAGAACTTATATCTGAAGCTGGGTGGCGCATTTACGTTGTAGATGTCCATGGGCTCCAGTAACCACTTAACACCTGGTGGGCTGTGAGCTCGTCCACCCATCTAAGCAATAAATAAAAAAAATCCACTAACATTGTGTAATTGCAATAAAGTTGTTAAATTTGGAATCGCAACACATCTAGTATTCAGTTCAAAGTAAAGCTTGTGTAACGTGTCTATCCATCTATTTGTTTACTGATTATTATTTGCACAACTGCTCCAGATCAAAACAGAACTGCTAAGCATTTAACTGACTAGACGTGGCAAGTTTGGTGGTTGGAGGTGCTCAGTCGAAGTGATAATCGTTTCTCGATAATGTCTGGTACTGGACGATGGACCTCGCCGTTCTTGAAACAGGTAAAACTGATGATCAGATTTTTTTATTAGTCATAACGATCAGACGACAATTGCGTCCGTCAGATACGCATTGGAATTACGTGGAAAACACCATATGTATCCAACTCTGCCATAACCCCAATCTCTGTTTTTTTTTTTTAAACCCAGTAATGTGAGTAATTATTATACAATTTAAAAATTGTACTTTTGTTCTTGTGTTTTAAGACATTCGCCTAACATATTTTATGATTAAGATAAATTATAGCAAAATGTATTAGAACAAATCATATTTCTTAAAAAGATCCATAGATAATTATATACGGGTTGGAATAAAAAGCCCTGGACTCTAATCAAATAGGCCAACAGCGTCATCATTCATTTGCAGGCTATCTTCTAAAGGTTAAATCCAGACTGTCCAGGGACCACTACCAAACTGATTAAAATCCCCTCAGAGTCCTTTTACTGTTCATGAGGAATCAGTGATAAACATAAAGAGGGTGTAACATTGTTAACTTTAAATTTTCAGTGCTTTGCAGTATCAAGTGTTAGTTTGAATATGATCTCATGTGGATTAACAGTCGGCTTCAACGCTTCACTATTCTCTGAACTTAGGAAGACACAAGAGATACCTTTGAATATTGATTCTGAATCTTGGTTAGGTATGATTTATTTATTTTTTATTGCTTAGATGGGTCGACGAGCTCACAGCCCACCTGGTGTTAAGTGGTTACTGGAGCCCATAGACATCTACAATGTAAATGCGATACCCACCTTAAGATATAAGTTCTAAGGTCTCAGTATAGTTACAACGGCTACCCCACCCTTCAAACCGAAACGCATTACTGCTTCACGGTGGTGGTACCTACCCGTGCGGACTCACAAGAGGTCCTACCACCAGTGCATTTCTTCATTACCGCGACTTTTATGTATTTTTGAGGTACCGAAATAAATAAGTTAAAGTTACTGAATTCATTTCAAACATACTCCGAGACTTTAAGGTGATTAATAAAATTTGCAAATTCAATTTCAGCGTCTCTCTCCGGATTAACGATTTTTATTGGTGCTGTCGGAAGTTCAATAATAATGGAAACGATAGGGAGAAAGCCAGCCATTGTCATAAGTTCAGCGCTGATGCTTTGCGGATGGATATCTTTGATCTGCGCTTCATCATTCGCTGTTTTGTTGACGGGAAAAATTGTTCAAGGAATTTCGACAGGGCTCGGCGCTAATGTGGGCGGAATATTAATTGCAGAATATTGCAGTCCGAAATACCGGGGAGCCTTCATNATAATAATGGAAACGATAGGGAGAAAGCCAGCCATTGTCATAAGTTCAGCGCTGATGCTTTGCGGATGGATATCTTTGATCTGCGCTTCATCATTCGCTGTTTTGTTGACGGGAAAAATTGTTCAAGGAATTTCGACAGGGCTCGGCGCTAATGTGGGCGGAATATTAATTGCAGAATATTGCAGTCCGAAATACCGGGGAGCCTTCATCGCCACAATACCAACAGCAATGCTATTCGGAGGATTCATTCCGCATGCCTTTGCCATGTTTTACAACTGGCATGAAATTTCAAAAATCTTAATATTTTTCTCTTTACCCGGTTTTATAATGGCTGTACTCTCGCCTGAGTCCCCAACTTTTCTGGCGACTAAAGGACGTTACAATGAATGCAGGAAGGTTTTCCGCTGGCTGAGGGGAACAAACGAGGACGAAGAACTTGAAACAATGATTAAAACTGCCATGATTGTTAGAGAAATTAAGGGAAACGGAAAGAATAGTGTACCAAATTTAATTAAGAAAAAAATTGCATACATCTTCACTATGTTCAAAAAGAGAGAATTTCGTAATCCAGTTATAATTATGGTGCACTTGAATGCTATTACTCAATCATGTGGTACTCTCATCCAAGACATGTACGCGCTGGACATTCACAAAGCATTATATGGCACAGACGCTTACATGTTCAAAGTAATAACATCTTTGGACATTTTGAAACTTATTTCAATGGTATCAGCAATTTACATTGTCTCAAAATTTAAACGGCGCCTCATGCTTGTAATATTTGTAGGTTTGAATATATTGGCAAATCTAAGTGTAGCCGGCTATATTTACGCGAGAGAACACGACTTTCTTCCATCTAAGAACTTGGCCTTCGGTATTATATTACATCATTTCCAAATTTTCACCATAGGAGCTGGCTCCTGGCCGTTACCTTTTATAATCTGCAGTGAAATATACCCTATAGAACACAAGGGCTTATGTGGAATGATTAGCAGTGCAACTTTTTCATTTTTTGTCTTTGCAAACATCAAATCCGCCTTATATTTGTTTTTTTACGTGGGGGTCGATGGAGCATTTTGCTTACACGCTTTGATTCTCTTATACAGCATGCTTGTGTCTTACATAATGCTGCCAGAAACAAAAGATAAAACTCTATTAGACGTTGAAAATGAAGTTAGGGGATACGCTATCGACGACTGCGATGAAGGAATCGAATTAAATGATCAATTAAAGGCAAGGGAGGAGAACTAAATTACAGAATTGTAATAAACATTTGAAAGTCAGAAGGGACTATTAAGATTGATATTGTCGTAGCTTTAAGGACATCGTCGCCGGGTTTACTCATATCAACCAAAACGTCTATGTTGATCTTCAAAATTCTCAATATTTTAGTAAAATATTCGTACATATTCGTACATATTCGATATCATTGAATGCAGCGATTGCATATAGCAGAGATGCGAATGTTCCAATGGATGTGTGCAGTAACGAGAATGGATAGAATACGGAATAAATATGTTAGAGGAAGTCTGAAAGTGGCACCTGGGACAGTGAAGCTGAAAAGTGCGCGTTTGGGCTGGTATGGACATGTAATGAGACGAAATGAAAATTAGGTTGGTACGAGAGTGTTAACTTTGAAAGTGGAAGGATATAGAGGAAGAGCTAGACCTAAGAAGAAATGGATGGATTTCGTGAAAGACAATTACGTGTAAAAGGGGAGTGAGCGAAGAAATGGTATATGATAGAGAAGTATGGAAGGAGAAAACATGTTGCACCGACCGCAGGTGACTAGGAAAATGATAATGATGATTCGATATCATTGAAATAATAAAAAAATTTACTAGTGAAGAACTGAATAAAGAAGACGGCGGCAGCTTATCTAACACCTGAGAAACTCTTGTCGTGAAGATGACAATCTAAGTCAAGCAAATTGCCGGGTCTTAGTACACTATTAACTGTTAATTTATTTTCAAACAAACGTAAATGGCAGTACATAATTTTATAAAATAGTCCATATTATTCAGATTATACAAATTTCGGTGAGTACCACCTTAGTTTTCTGAGAAGCTATGAAATAATTAACGTGATATTAAATAAAAAAATAATTGAGATTAGATTAAAAGTTTAGTAACATTGACGTGTACAATAAAGTCCACGATGCGCGAAATCGGCTGAAAGTTTTAGAATGTAAACCAAACTAAATAAAACTCGGTTTTACCGTCGTCGGAGCAGGGGAAACCCTGCTACTTGAAAGTACTATGAATGAGAAAAAAATCAATCAAAATTTACAATATAGGTAGTATGTTCTTTGATTTTCGTGAGACATTAATAACTGACGAACGAATACCAAGAAAACTGTATGAAATCGAGAACGCTCAAGAAGTACAACGCCATCTACTGTTAGATAGCAGAAACACACATTGAAGCTACTCGACTTGCCCAGAATGTTCTCGATAAATCTAGGGACGTCGTATCGACTATAAAAGCGTTGCAGATGTGGCACGAAGTCACTTAGTAATCGTATCTACTCGAAACGAAACAGCGAACGGGTCACCTGAAGCGAAGCGGAAGAAGCGAATTGAGAATTTTAAAGTGCTCGTTAAGTGTTCTAAGTGTCAATACAGTTATAATTTATACTTCGGTAGAATTTTATTTGTCCCGAACCCCAGCGCATAACAGTATGTATAACAAAGGCTTGAAAAGTATTATATTTCTAAGCGTCTCTATGAATCAAGCAAAGGAATAACTGATACCCCTAAACTCCTGAACCGTAAATATGTATACCTTTCCCAAGGTATCCCTTTACAAGAAAACCCACTGGCACAAAGGTAGGTGTTTTCTGGATACCCAAAGGTCTCTGTTTAAGAAAGAGTTCCTTTGGGGCTATGATAATGTCCACGACAGCGCGAAGTCTTAGTTGATGGTTGATCGGAATGGTACAACGACTGCCCCACCCTTCAAACTAAAACGCATTACTGCTTCACGGCAGAAATAGGCGGGGTGGTGCGGACCCGTGCGGGCTCACCAAACATCCTAGCACCTTGTTGTTACGCAAACTGTATGCGGGTTTGATTTTTATTACACGATGTTTTTCTTTCGCCGTAGAAGTCAATCGTGAACATTTCTTTAGTACGTAACATTATTAAAAATTACTGTTCCTGTACATACAATTAATTTACTATGTATATAAAAAAAAACCTATAGTAAAAATTATTTATACAACTCCACAATAATAATAAAACCGATACAACATATGTTCTTCTTTTTCTCGCTTCGGTTTTCTCAGTACTGAAGGTCCTGACCACCCACTCGGAACAACAGTTTATTCTGGATCATTCTGCGCCATTTGCCGCTGAGTGTAGAGCATCGTCAACTGCGGTGTCGAGGCTAGTGCGGATCTGGTCAACATCAACATAATATGTACATATGTATTTCTGTTTGTGTTTACAGAAAACTCATTGATATTCGTCGAACTTTTTTTAAAGTGAGGTTAAATTTAATTTTGGATGGATAAGAAGCTTACATTTTTCTAAAGCATCACCAGCCGCCGGAGCTGACTTCATCTTTACTACCTGGAATAAGCGCGCTCATCAACAGTTAATTCATCGTTGAGACATCGAAGTCATCTGAACTACCCTCCACTGTGTTTCCTTAGCGTTATGACATATTTTTGTTGAGCCAAACTTCCTACGAGGTTTCCAAGCTGCATGTATGTGGGGCAGCTCGGTTCAAATTATTATTATTATGTACAAAGTTTTTTTTCTCGAATTTTTATGAATTTCGGTAAATACTGAAAACCACGGGCCTTTTACATGACAGCTTATCTGTAAAATGCAAACGGGCTCAAAATACGACATAATATCACTAATAATTAGAGGAATTTATAAACAAGACCTGATTGATTTTATCAAACCCTTATTCTGGACATTAAGGATTTTGGTTTGTTGATTAAGATATTTTGAAGTCATCGCGGCCTAAAGGACAAGACGTCCGGTGCATTCGTATCTAGCGATGCACCGGTGTTCGAATCCCGCAGGCGGGTACCAATTTTTCTAATGAAATTAACAAATGTTCACGATTGACTTCCAAGGTGAAGGAATAACATCGTGTAATAAAAATCAAACCCGCAAAATTATAATTTGTGTAATTAGTGGTGGTAGGACCTCTTGTGAGTCCGCACGGGTAGGTACCTTCACCCCGCCTATTTCTGTCGTAAAGCAGTAATGCATTTCGGCTTGAAGGGTGGGGCAGCCGTTGTAACTATACTGAGACCTTAGAACTTATATCTCAAGGTGGGTGGCGCATTTACGTTGTAGATGTCTATGGGCTCGATTAACTACTTAACACCAGGTGGGCTGTGAGCTCGTCCACCCAAATTCTGGGCATTAAGAGAAATCTTAAAAAGGAACTTGCACATACAAAGAAAAATATAAACAGCTGGCACATCCTCCTCCCCAAGTCGCATTCCTCATGTCTGAGGGTCGTGACCATCTCCTCCCATTATTGGAGTGGAGAGTATTAAGCAGAGCTTGTGGAAAGTATTAAGCAGTAGGCAGCGGCTTGGCTCTGCTCCCGGCATCGCTGAAGTCCATGGGCGACGGTAACCACTTACCATAATTGGGCCGTACGCTCGTCTGCCTACAAAGGCAATAAAAAAAATCTTTCTCTGGATGATGTTTCGCCATTTTCCTCTGTTCTCCGCAGTGCGTATGGCATCGTAGAGTGTGGTATCCAGAGTGGTCCGGATTTGGTCGGACCAGCGCATAGGAATGCGGCCACGAGATCTTTTACTCACAAAAAGCTTGCACATAAAAAGGACAATTTCTGATATACATATACCTATTACCCTACTTGTTGTATGGTTGCCAAACTTGGATATTTACAAATAAAATAAAACATTAAATGCAGTCAAAAAGTATATTAAAAATCAGAAGAATACTTTAAAAAACAAAATTGCGAAAACATTCGTCAAAAAAATAAGCTCACCGATGCTCTCAGGCACGCACTCTTACTTAAATGAAAAGGGGTTGGACACACCTCACGATACCCAGAGAGAAGATGAACCATTAAAGCCACACAATGAAAAGAATTAACGGAAAAAAAGGAATGTTGTTCGACAATCAATATGGTGAGCAAATCAAATCAAATCAAATCAAAAAATTTTTATTCAACATAAATGAAAGTACATACTTGTTGAACGTCAAAAGAACTACCGCCAATTCACAAGAACTAGCCTCCGTCCTGAGAAGAATTGGCAAGAAACTCAGCGGGCATGTTTTTTTTTTTTTAATAANTTTCTGGTACCATATAATAAGACACGACCAGGCTATAAAGCAGCAGCACTGCATAGACACAAAACGTTCCATCTACACCAATCAGAGAGAATAGATACGGCGCGGACTTGATGTTTACAAACATGTAAATTGAGAGAATTGCACTACAAATCATCCCACACAAACCCCTATTTTGCATTGGATATAATTCATTACTAATTATTGCGGTTAAAGAAGTAGCGCCAACTCCGCTGGTGAACATATGGAAATGTTGCAAACATATCACAATAGCTATATGGTCAAAAGGTAGAAGATTGTGACGCCTAGCGTATATGTATCCGGCCTCACACAGCAACGATAGTATATTCAGTCCTACAAGCGTGAGGTAGAGTGGACGCCTTCTTATTCCAGACGTTAAATAAATTGTTAAAAAAGTAGCGAATATTTTTTGCAAATCCAACGATGCGATTACTTTGAACATGTAAATATCTGTACCATATAATGCTGTGTAAATATCCATAGGATACGAATCGTGGACAATAGCACCAGAAAATTCTTTAATGGCATTCAAATGTATCACTATAAATACTGGAATGTAAAATTCGCGCTTTTTGAACGACGTGATAAAATACATTAAATTTTGCTTAATTAGTTTTGACACGTTATTTCTACAACTTTTCTTGGCTTCTTTAACGATCATATCGGCTTCGATCATTTTCTCCAGCTCGTCATCATCCTCTGAACCCCTCAGCCAGCGGAAAACCTTTCTGCATTCATCGTAGCGTCCTTTAGTTGCCAGAAAAGTCGGTGATTCCGGTGTAAATATAGCAATTATCAATCCGGGTAAAGAACAAAACAAAAGGATTATCGCAATTTGAAACCAGTTGTAAAACAAGCCAAGTGAATGTGAAGCTAAAATACCAACTAACATCGCAGCAGGTATCGTCGCGATGAAAGATCCTCGGTATTTTGGACTGCTGTATTCTGCAATCAAAATACCGCCCATTGTGGTCCCAAGACCGATAGACATTCCTTGAGATATCTTCGCCATTAATAAGGCTGGAAATGATGAGGCCAAGCTGAATGTTATCCAACCGGTGACTATGAGTATTGAGCTGATAAGAAGTGCAGGTCTGCGGCCAATTCGATCTATGATTAGTGAGGTGAAGAGACATCCTATTAGTGTAGTTATCCCGATCAGTGATGCTGAAAGAAAATATTTAGACATTAGAATTATAGTCAAACTACAATTACAATACATAATATTATTATTATATTATTAGCTATGTCTAATGATTTTTTATAGATAAAATATGTATGCCTGAGAATTATCTGCACATCCCTTTGGGACTGCTACATAAATTTCCCGTACCCAACCATGACTCTGAATCCTTGTCCAAAGGTATCTCTCGACTCTTCCTCAAGTCTGAGAACAGTGATGCGTTAAATCCGATAACCATACCATATGATATCATGTTGAAGGTCACACTCGATACCGCAAAGCACTGAAAATATAGTTGTATTATTATATCTATGATCGTAGGCAACAACTAAATCGAGGTAAGAACGTGTGAGAATAGATTCCACTACCTTGTTAGTTTGAAGGTTAGCTACCTCTTTTCTTATGATGGAAGAGTTACTGGTGGCTCGAAGGACTTTCTAGTTTCACCAGGCCAAATAGACGAGTGCGAGCTCACTCGAGACCTGGACCATTGTACCATGGGATCTAGGGTAGTTAAAGAACTCGGAAAAAAATCATCTTACAAGAAATCCAATAGTCCTTTTTGATATTTTGTAAGAGATAAAAAAATATATCAACATTTGAGAACTTCGTACTATATAGGATCTACATATAAATGCTCCACAATTAGTCTAGGATAGTTAAAGAACTTTAATATTTGGGATCTGGGGTATTTGTTGTTACGTCGTTGTGTGTTTCCAATGACCATAACACAGAAGAAAATTGTAAATTTAGGTAGTGTATTTATTTGGAAATGAACAATATAAGCGTCTATTTAATATGTTAGAGAGAGGTACAACAAAAACCCAAGTGCAGACAGTAACACTCATTCAAAGAAATAACAAATCTAACAACAATAATGTAATTATACAAGAAAACTAAAAACAAACACCTAGACATCATCTAGATCTTCTAGGTCGGAACAAAATGATTCTACCAAAAAATCCAGAAGTCCGTTTTGATAATCTATATGTAATAAAAATATTATTAGATCAACATCTGCAAACTTCGTATATTATATCTACATACAAATGCTCCATAATTCATTCGAGCCGTTACGGTTGATACGGAACGAACATAAGGATGGGATTAGAGAAGAAGAGTCGGTGGTTTCTTGAATACATTACCAAATCTAAATACGAAAAGTAGCGTTGGTTGAATCTCATTTAAGATATCATTAAAATGAATATATGTATATATTTTTTTTATTGCCCTTGTAGGCAGACGAGCATACGGCCCACCTGATGGTCAGTGGTTACCGTCGCCCATGGACTTCAGCAATGACAGGGGCAGAGCCAAGCCGCTGCCTACCGTTTAATACTCTCCACAAGCCTCGTTTGAAGAAAGACATGTCATAGCGCTCGGGAAACACCGTGGAGGGGAGCTCATTCCATAGCCGGATGGTACGTGGCAAAAAAGACCTCTAGAAACGCACTGTGGATGACCGCAGTGGCTCCAGGTAGTATGGATGAACTCTACTCCGGTGGCGCGCGGTGCGATGGTAAAAACGAGATGCCGGTATCATCTCGAACAATTCCTCAGAGCACTCCCCATGGAACATACGGTACAAAATACAGAGGGAACCGAAGTCCCTCCGCAGACCCAGAGGTTCCAAACCATTCTCGGCGTTTATTTGGAATAAATGCCCAAATCAGGAACAACGTACTGCAAAGTTTCAAAGTTTGTCAACTATAATAGTCATCCAAAATATTAGGTCTTTAGAAGATAAAGTTATATTAGTACCTCGGAATTGTGTGTTTTAATTGAACTTGACCAGATAAAAATGAGTTTGACCATCCAGTCACACCTCCTGATCATTGAACTAAGGTCAAACGTGGTTTTCTTACTATGTATTTCAAATATATATTTTTTCTCTGGCTATTCGCTGGAATCTAAATGGGTTATTCTAGCTTCTCGCGGACGGGTAGGTGAGCTCACGGGCGCAATCCGAGAGAATTTGCTAACACTAGCCCTAGCAAGAACAGTGTTAAATCTACCACCACATCGGAATCGCAACCCACTGATTCACGCGGCGAGCAACTTAATGGGTTAAACACAAACTTGTCAGATCCCGTAGTAACCCTGTGTCTTGGGGTCAGACCGCGGATTCCGAGGGGAGTCGATATTAAAGATAGTTATATGCTAGTGCGGAGAGTTTTATTATGAATCTAATAACTTTTACAAACGAGACAGCGGAAAAAGAAGAAGTAGGTAAGCACGTAGAACAAAGACTCCGACTGAAACTTACCTGCTTCAAGAACGGTGTTATCCATCGCTTACTACGACACATTTTCACAGAATTATACAAAACGAGCCTCGTGCTTTTGGTTTTGAATAACGTGTAAATGATTAGACAATTCATTTGAAATTATAATTTCTTTAGCATTGAATTAATTAATTAATTAAGATACCTACTGGGAAATTATACATAGTTCAGCTTTTTCATCGTGGTTTTTTTTTAGATTAAAGTATTTCTTGTGACACGGAGACCTTTCCAGTTTCACCAGGACAGGTGAGCGAGCGAAGGCTCAGCCAGGAGGGGTGGGATTTGCTAACAGCTGCCCCAGCTCCTCCAAGAGCAGCTGCTTGGCGAGTGAATCTACTATAGGATCGGAATCGCGACACACTGACAAGATCCGGCGAAAAACTGATAGTTGGATTAGGTTGCACGTCGACCGGGGGTCGGAGGAGGGCGTTTGTCCAGCTCCGGCCCCTATGAGGAGGCATTCTCCTCTCGGTGATGGTCACGGCGCGACCTAAGGGGGTTGAGGCTGCGCCGCACGCTACCGTCACTCTAGGGCGCTGGCACCAGGAGGACGGGATGACGTGTCGGCGGCTGCGGACTGCGATGCGGTTCGCATTTTCGTCGTCGCTGTCGTCGCCGAACATACTGTGGAAGAGCAACCCGGTCGGCGGTGTATCGAGTTCCGACCCGGCAGGCTGTTTCTGGCCCAGCGGGGTATCCCGGAATACCAGCGGCATCGCCCAGGCGGCCTGGCAGGGCCGCCGTACCGCGGAGACCGACGTCGTTGGTCGTCAACCATTGCCCGACGACGCGTCGGTCGGGCGTCCTCGGGATGGCGCCGCGTAGGAGGAGGTTGAATTGAACCAAGTTCAATTCACCCCATTTGGAGCTTATTCGAAGTGGTCTCCATTGGCTGCAATACAGTCCTTTAAACGTTGAGGCCAGTTATCAATAGAAGCACGCACTATTTCCATGGGAAAATTTTTCACTGCCAATCGTACGGATTGTTTTAGGGACTCCAAATTATCATGGCGTTTAGAGCAAGCCGTACTCTCTAAAACTGACCATAAATCATAATCCAGCGGATTAAGATCGGGACTAGACGACGACCAATCTTCAGCTCTGATGAAGTCCGAAACGTTCGTTGCCAACCAAGACTGCGTAGACCGAGCTTTATGACCTGGCGCCGAATCTTGCTGGAAGGACCATTTTTGATTATTGAAGATGGTGTTGTTAAGGGGCTTCACTACCTTCTCAAGAATGGTATCTTGATACACTTGTGCCGATGTTTTGATACCTTTTTCACAAAAGTGTGGCTCAGTCACTCCTTCATAGCTAATACCCCACCAAACCAATACTGAAGTCGAATAGTGCCCACGTTGCACTCTGTCGACTAATTGGGAAGCTTCCTTAGAGCTTTGAGCATAGATACGGTCATTTTGTTTGTTAAAATGTTGCTCAATTGTAAAAATTTTCTCATCCGTAAACAAAATTTTTCTCTGACCTCCCTTTGCGTACCGCTTCAGTAGTTGTTTCGATTTTACCACCCTATTCTCTTTTAAATTATCAGTTAAGAAATGACCAGTACGTCTCTAATACGCTGCAAGTCCTAAGTCATCTTTTAAAATACGCGTCATGGTTCTAGGTGCTATCTTCATCTCTCGAGATAAAATCTTTCTCTTTCGGACCGGATTTCTTCGAATTCTTTCCCTTACTGCTTGGACCACCTTTTTCGTACGAACACTACGTGGACGGCCAGATCTTTTTCTGTCACAAACAGAGGATGTCTCATTGCAGCTATTAATAGCCCGATACACAAACATTTTACTAATACCAAGCGTATGGAGAGTTTTAAAAATTGCATTTGGCCTACCTATTTTACCTACTTTGTGTAATGCAATCACAGCGATTCGGTTCTCTTTATCACCCCACTCCATTTTAATATCGCAAAATATTGTACAATGTATTGGCGCCAAAATGAGAAAACTCAATGAGCAATCATATAAAAATTACAGATTCCAAATTCAAATATAATATTTTGTTTATTTTTAATTGTAACAGTATTTATGGCCAGACTAAGTATAGCTGACATGATTGATTTTATTAAACTTATATTAACTCGTATGGGACGTCTTGCGTAATGGGCTGATACGCATTTACTTCGAAAAAAAATGTCACTAATTAAACAAAAGACGTCTCACCGTTCAACATAATAATCAAATACTTGCAAGGAAACGATTATAATTCAGGCTTTGTTTCTAATTGCCAATTCCCCCTTGTTAAATTACATGTTAAATCCCCAATTAAAAATAAGAAATTGATAAGAATTTGTGAACGCGAATTCGTTGTCGTAATACCACGACGATATTTTAACTTTGAAAAGTGCAAGGTCAAGTTTCTTAACCTTTTTTTTGTTCATTTATGAAACAGTAACTCTTTTTGTATAATATATTTTTTTACAAATGCTTTTTGTTACTTTAAACTTATTTCAGAGCGTCCGCACTGTTTGTATTATTGAAATTCATGGGACAGAAGACCATGCCGAAGATGGACGCCGCGTGATCCTTGATTGACTTTCTATGATTTTTTTATTGCTTAGATGGGTGGACGAGCCACAGCCCACCTGGTATTAAGTGGTTACTGGAGCCCATAGACATTCACAACGTAAATGCGCCACCCACCTTGAGATACAAGTTCTAAGGTCTCAGTATAGTTACACCGGCTGCCCCATCCTTCAAGCCGAAACGCATTACTGCTTCACGGCAGAAATAGGCAGGGCAGCGGTACCTACCCGTGCGGACTCACAAGAGGTCCTACCATCAGTAATTACGCAAATTATAATTTTGCTGTTTTGATTTTTATTACACGACTAGCGGCCCGCTCCGGCTCCGTTCGGGTCTTTAACAAAAATATCAACGATATTTGACGTTTTTTTATTTTTAAAAATAAAAGAAACTTATTGCGGCATAACTATAATAGTTAGATATATGCTGTCGCGACACTTTTTGTAAATAATAATGTGTTCTACAAAGTCGTAGTACATTATTTTATTCTATCATCAATAGTTTTCGCAGGGCACGCGATGTAAAGAATGTTTTAGGTAATTTTTTTACACCTTGGGTTACAATTTTACATTATTGGAGTTTTAGTAAGGATCCCTAATTTTTTTCAAAAAAGGTTATAATCTATGTCACTCGGGAATAGTGTAGCTTCCAAAAAGTGAAAGAATTTTTCAAATCGGTTCAGTAATTTCGGAGCCTATTCAATACAAACAAACAAACAAATCTTTCCTCTTTATAATATTAGTATAGATGTTATTCCTTCACCGTGGAAGTCAATCGTGAACATTTGTCGAGTACGTATTTCATTAGAAAAATTGGTACCCGCCTGCGAGATTCGAACACCGGTCCATCGCTCGATACAAATGCACCGGACGTCTTATCCTTTAGTCACGTTTTCTTCGAGTTGAACAATTGGAGTTAAATTTAAATGCTATATTAATAATATAATATTATAAGGAATTTCATTTACAATGTACAATAAGTTCGTCATGTAACACTTAATTCACCTTACGGCAAAGAAACACAATATGCCTTGATAAAGCGGCAAAAGCGCAGGCAGCACGCGACTTTCTTATCGAATACATTTCCATTCAGTTTCTGATTTCGATGAAATAAACAATAAACATTACTCTAATGACTGCTTTATTTTTGTGTATACAGGGTGTGAAGAAGATCGCCTATGAGGTGGACTGATCAGATAATAGCGGCAGTGAATGGCTCATCGTCTTTACACGAATTCCCGAGGAGGCTTACCGTCAGCGAGGAGTGGTGACGTGTTCTGAAGCTTCCCACCAACGCCTGAAGTGATGACCACGACCACTATATCAAGAGCGACTGGGAAGAAGATACAGGGTGTACACACAATATATCGAACCGAAAAATGTAGATAGTGTTCTATTAAAATTATCAATTCGACGAGAAAAACAAATGTTCCCAAGTAAATAGTTTCGGAATAAAATGTACTTGAACGCAACGAACCAACTATTCTTCTGTTAATCCTTGAATTATGTTGCACGCAAGGTATCTTAATATTATGATTCATAAGGAAGAATTTAATGCCTCGCTCTTGTGGCATCGTTATCAAACGCTGAATGTTGCACTTTTTTTTTTATAACTTATCTTACGTCAAGTTACTTAACGTATTCATTCTGCGACAATGTGCTTTGGCAAACAGTTGATTACCCCATTCGTGAAGCAAGTGAGTTTTCCAATCTATTTTAATGTGTGTTTAAAAAGCCATTTAACTGTGTCAAGAAAGTTAATTATTAGGCACAACCAAAATAAAGATATATCTTTTTAAAAATAAAGATATATCTTATATATTTGTTGTGATAGCATGATAGCATAAAGATAGCACGACCAACTTTGTTTTTGGGCTTTTACAAGCTTTCGGGAGTCAGGAGTTTATCGGATTTCGTTTATCCAATGTTAGCAACCGCCATACCTCCATGATATTTGAATCTATCATGTATTGAAATAAGAAAAAATATTTGTCAAAATGTATGTCCCATCCATCCAGAAGAATACGAAAAGTGATATAGACATGTTTAATCTGCTATGTCGTTTACTTGCTTGGTTAATGAAAATATAACTTGGTTCTTCAAATTCCCAGTGCTTCGCGGTGTCGAGTGTGACCTTCAACATGATGTCATACGGTATGGTCATCGGATTTAACGCATCACTGTTCTCGGAATTGAGGAAGAGTCAAGAGATACCCCTGGACAGGGATTCAGAATCATGGTTGGGTATGTTATGTTTAATTTTTTTTAATATCGTAGAGTTGAATAAACAGCACGCTAATTAATCTTTTCGTTTGGGATGTAATGACTGTGGGTGACCCGGAAGCCGGCGTTACCGAGACGGACGCGTGAGCACGCGAGTCCAGTCCATATTAACCTATAACCTGTAAACCTACGCGCCTCCAAAAGCGGCCGAAAAGCTCAAAGATTCGCGGGAGTACCTACCATCGAATCGAAATCGCGAAACGCTAAGGTGACCCGTGGAGAAACTCAGCGAACTATCTGTCTATCGCTGCAGTAATAATGGTGAAAATCGTATTTCGTGTTTTGTGTTAATGGTCGAGTAATTGGTGACTATAATAAAGCTGCGAGATCGATGTTCATTTACCGTTGCGAATCGGTCTCGAGATTTCAGTGTGCTCACATCCTTATTATAAGCTGAACTTTGGATACTGGTCATGTTACTGTAGTTTTCATGTATTTTCCGTAACATTCAAAACCTCTTTTGAACGATTTACCAAAAGAAATGAAAATGAAAATACTCACTGAAAAAAATTTTAAACGCGTCTAGAAAATGGCAACGTGAACAGATTTCTTCACAATTCAAAAAAGAGGAACAAGCCTTCAGAAACGGGAAATTACAGCGTAATGGCAGCTAGCGCTTCTCGCCAGCTCTTTCGACTGATATAAATTAAGACAGAATCAAAGAGTTTACAAATAAAAACCTTACTTACCATAAATTTTCTCTGTTCTAGCATCACTCATTGGAATAACAACATTTATTGGAGCGCTATTCACACCAATTATAATAGACAGCATCGGCCGAAGACCAGCAGTGATTACCAGCTCAGTCCTCATGGTCAGCGGATGGATCACATTTAGCTTAGCCTCATCACTCCCTGTGTTATTGGTTGCAAAATTTTTACAAGGAATGTCCGTTGGTCTTGGATCCACGATGGGAGGACTTTTGATTGCAGAATATAGTAGTCCGAAATACAGAGGGTCTTTTATGGCAACAATTCTTACTTTTCTGCTATTAGGGAGTCTAATATCTCATTTATTTGCATTGTTTTACAATTGGCATCAAATTTCGACAATACTAGGATTTTTCTCTTTGCCCGGATTAATTATTTCTTTATTCTCTCCCGAGTCCCCAGTTTTTTTGGCAACCAAAGGACGTTACGATCAATGCAGAAAAGTTTTTCGCTGGCTGAGAGGTCCAAACGAAGATGATGAACTCGAGAAAATGATTAAAACTGATTTGATCGTTAAAGAATCTAAAAAGAGCCGTCCTAAAAAGACTACGTCTAAAATAATACAGAAAAAATTAACGTACGTCATTTTAACATTCAAAAAGCGAGAATTTTATATTCCAGTATTTATTATGATGCATCTCAGTGCTATAAATGAGTTCTGCGGTGCTCTCGTCTACGATACATATGCTTTTGACATCCATAAGGCTTTATATGGTACCGATATCTACATGTTTAAAGTGATGGCATCTCTGGACATTCAAAGAATTTTATCAACAGTTCTAACAGTCTATTTAACCAGCAGAGTACGGAGGCGTCCATTATTATTCACATTAGTTGGATTGAATATATTGGCGTATATCTGTGAGGCTGGATACATATACGCCAGGCGTTATAGTCTACTTCCTTTTGACCACATGGCTATAGGAGTATTTTTACATCATTTCCATTATTTCACCAACGGAGCTGGTTCTATGTCCTTGACGACTATAATTAGTAGCGAGCTATTCCCAACAGCAGACAAAGGATTCTGTGGACTGATTCGTAGTTTGATTTTCTCGATCTTCGTCTTTGCAAACGTCAAAAGTGCACCGTATTTATTCTCCCTCATAGGTATAGAAGGAACATTATGTGCCTATGCACTGTTACAGTTTTACTGTCAAGTTATGTTATATTACATGTTACCAGAAACAAAAGATAAAACACTACAAGAAATCGAAGATAAATTCAGAGGATTCTCTTTGGTTGATCGTGCAGAAATTTTAAAAACAAAGGATGATGTGGATGTTTCGAATTGATGCATAAACAAAATTGGATAAAACAAACAATAATATGCTTAGATTACTCTTAAAAGTTAAGTTTTTTTTCCCCCTACCAATTTGCTGGCAGCCTAAGAGGCAATACCAGCTACGCCCGGACGGGTAGGTGAGCTCACGGGCTCAACCTGAGAGAATCTGCTAACACTAGCCCTAGCAAGAGCAGTGCTTCGCAGAATCTACCACCGGATCGGAATCGCGACCCACTGAGAAGATCAGTGGGCTGAGAGATAAGAGTTATTTACGGATATGATAGCATAAATAAGTACGGGAAAAAAAAACATTTATCTACTTTGGCTAAAGCGGGAAATGGGTTTACGTAATATGTATATATATATAATATATGTATAAATATAAGAATGGAAGAGAAAAATTAGCTGTGCCGACCCCACCTAGTGGGAGAAGGTGGAGAAAAAGAAGACATTTACAAATGCATTCTTCAAGTATCTAACGAATCGATGTCCGTGTGCTACGCGAAAATTAATAACATATTCTTTAAAATTGAATCACAAAGAAAAATATTTGAGATTTATTTTTAGGATGTCTTGCTGGAGGCCAATTCACAAAACAGGTGCGACAGTTGATTTAATTATCATTTACTAGTGGTACCGCAGTAGTCGAAATTCGATTAATTAATTAAAATTAAATATTTGTATACTATTATGATTCTATAGTCAAAGACTATTATACTTCCATAATCACAGATTTCGCCAAGTCTACAATTTAGACAAATATTAATAGAGACAAACAATTAAAATTGTTTTAATGGATTTTATGACCTGGTAACTAAGACCTTTAAGTCATGTCTTATTTTAATTTATATTATTCATATTTTTATGAAAAATGATATTATAGAGTGAAATGAAATGAAGATGATAATTTTGAGACACTAATCAACTGGGATGAAATTAAATTAAAGGAATTGAGATGATATGGGATGAAATATAGTCTCAGTAAAATGGTGGTCATTTACTAAGATTTTTTCAGCGTACTTTTTGGAGGATCCCGAGAAGTTACGTCCAGCAGCTTTGTTTCATTTTTCCACATTGGTGCACTTTCACAGATATTAAACAGTTAATAAGCCACCATTATTACACATTTAAACCCGAAGAAACACTAAATAGACAAAATAAAACAAATCACACAACTTCACTCCTCGCGTTCCCGCCAAAAAGTTCAAAACCAGTAAAATCAACAATTTGACCACAGATTATAAGCAATAAGAAAAGTTTGACAGTAAATAAATAGTATGTATGCGTGTGTGTGTCAAATACATGATAGTGTGTGTGTAATGTTTTTATTTATTGATTTAATGTATAATATTTTTCGTGCATAGTTTAAAAAATATAAACATTCTGCACTCCTCTATATTATCTATAAGTGTACAAAAATCCATACACCTCCGTCCGCGCAATTTTCGTAAAAAGGGGCACAAAGTTTTTGCTTCACGTATTCAATATATAGATATGAATTTTTGAGGCAGTTTTCATTTTTGAAAGATATTTGATACACAGCTTCTGAGTGTGTGTACTCGGTCTTGTTTCGTGTGCGTTTGCGGCAGACATTAGTCTCTATAGAGGAAGGATGAGCAACACGCGGCCCGCGGGCCCCTCGCGGCCGCCAAGCACATCTAAAATTTAATTTATTTTATCGACTTTCTCGTTTCTGCTCGTCTTTCTGTTTTTCTCTTGTTTGTGAATTAATATTTAAAAAAAAAAAAAAAATTAAAAAAAAAGACATGCCCGCTGAGTTTCTTGCCAGTTCTTCTCAGGACGGAGGCTAGTTTTTGTGAATTGGTGGTAGTTCTCTTTGACGTTCAACAAGTGTGTACTGTCATTATGTTGAATAAAAACAATTTTATTTGATTTTATTTGTTTTATCTTGCATTAAATTTTATTTATGAAATTTTTACTTTTTTTTAGTTTTATATTTTTTATTCTAATATTTATTATTTATTAAATACAGTTTCTTAAATTATTAATAAGAGTTAATATTTTATATGTGACCAGACAAAAAAATTAAAATTTAAATTAGCCCGTTAATCAAAAAAATTGCTCATGTATTTTGAGTCCGTGGGATGGGTGGTATCGGTGTTGGGAAAGCGGTTGTACAATTGACCGGTAACCGTTTTTTTTTAATTTTTTTTATTTATTGCTTTGATGGGTAGACGAGCTCACAGCCCACCTGGTGTTAAGTGGTTACTGGAGCCCATAGACATCCACAACGTAAATGCGCCACCCACCTTGAGATATAAGTTCTAAGGTCTCAGTATAGTTACAACGGCTGCCCCACCCTTCAAACCGAAACGCATTACTGCTTCACGGCAGAAATAGGCAGGGCGGTGGTACCTATCCGCGCGGACTCACAAGAGGTCCTACCACCAGTAATTACGCAAATTATAATTTTGCGGGTTTCATTTTTATTACACGATGTTATTCCTTCACCGTGGAAGTCAATCGTGAACATTTGTTGAGTACGTATTTCATTAATTTCAAAAATTGGTACCCGCCTGAGATTCGAACATCGGTGCATCGCTCAACACGAATGCACCGGACGTCTTATCCGTTAGGCCACGACGACTTCAAAATTACTGAAAACAATAGAAAAAGTTATTATAAATATTTGAGATTGTCTTCAATATCAACTTTATGAACACACAAGTTAATTTTTTTAATTCTGTAGATGGATAAAACAGTTCACAAATCACTTGGGTGGTTGCGGGAGCCCATCATAACGAGAATGCCACTATCCATCTTCGCTTCACATATTAAGTCGAAGACATGATTGTATTTTAATTACGGCACTCCTACTATTCAAACGGGAATTCATGAATTATTCGTCGCAAAAATACGTAAGATTGCGATACCTATCCAATAGTGCTCAAGTTTATGAATTAGTAGGAGTGTGATGCTACATCACATTTTTTTTTTATTGCTAAGGACGAGCTCATAGGCCTCCTGGTGTTAGGTGGTGACTGGAGCCCATAGACATCTACAACGTAAATGCGCCACCCACCTTGAGATATAAGTTCTAAGGTCTCAAGTATAGTTACGACGGCTGCCCCACCCTTCAAACCGAAACGCATTACTGCTTCACGGCAGAAATAGGCAGGGCGGTGGTACCTATCCGCGCGGACTCACAAGAGGTCCTACCACCAGTAATTACGCAAATTATAATTTTGCGGGTTTCATTTTTATTACACGATGTTATTCCTTCACCGTGGAAGTCAATCGTGAACATTTGTTGAGTACGTATTTCATTAATTTCAAAAATTGGTACCCGCCTGAGATTCGAACATCGGTGCATCGCTCAACACGAATGCACCGGACGTCTTATCCGTTAGGCCACGACAACTTCCGAAACAGTACTCATCGAACTCGGGAAAGAGTTCGACGTGTAGCCTTTTTTTTTCGGGCCAAGCGCCGAACCTCCTACGAGGTCTCCGCGCCTAGGGGGCGCGCGGTGTATGTGGGACTTGACAATCTGCAAGGTGTTGGGAGCAGACCGTGGGCCCAAGGTATTTTAGGGCCCTACCCACTAAATGACTCTCCTGCACTCTTACACCCGACGTCCGATCTCCGTCGGAGTCAAAACCCGGTCAGAGTAGGGGGGTCCCCCGGTCAACACTACAACCAGACACGCGGCGCCACCCCAAGGACGCCCTACACTTAAGGGCCTTTTATTCTCCAAATATTTCAGTGTTTCGCACTGAAGTATGGTGTTTCGTTACATCAGGTGTGACATTCAATATGTTGACACACGGCTTCATGTACGGATTCAATACGGGACTGTTCACACAGTTGAGGAAGACTATAGAAATACAGTTGGATTTGGAGTTAGAGTCTTGGCTGGGTAAGGGAAAGGAAGATTTAAAAACAATGTAGCCTTTAAAATTTTCGTTTTTGACTCACATTTCGCATTCGTACATAAAAAAACCAGAGAGAACTGAAGTGTGGGGTTAAAGCGATGGTTTGTGGACGCTCGTTTGGGTTTATATGGAAATCCATAGACTAGAACTTATTTCTTACTTACTATTTCGTTGGTACACGGCTTAAAATCGGAACGTAACTCTGTAACTAGAATGCTTGGTGGGTTACCAAATTTCATAAGCACAGGTTCATTAGGTGTATGGTCAATTTTAGGCAAGATGGCGTACTTTTTATTGAAACCCAAGCTTACAGTCGACCTGAAATGATCACCCTTCGGCACGGACAACCTACAACAACTCTAAAACCACTTTCAAATCTCTTTGAAATGCATTTTTATTCACTCTGATACCATTCTGTTCCATTCATGCAAATTGTACACTGAAAAAGATTTATTTATTTGTTTTCAGCTTCTTCAATTGGCTTAGCATTCATTTGGAACGCTACGGGAGAAGACCCGTATTCGTTTTCGATATAAAACCAAAGTGCACTTGGTGCGGATACTGATCTTTCCCATATTTCTCTACGGGGCGGAGATATGGTGCATGAAAAGCCGGGATATCAAAAATATCAATGCCTTTGAAATATGGGTGTGGCGGAGGATGTTACGAATACCGCGGACTGCCATGAGAACAAACGAATTCATTCTAATAGAGCTAAACATCCGAACTCCCGGCTCTCTTCCATCTGCCGGGAACGTGTTATGAGCTTCTTCGGACACATCATGCGGTCTCCCAGACATTAATTAGAGAAGCTCACAATTGCGGGTCGCATAGGAAGACAAGCGCGCCGTGGACAGAACACCAGCCAGATGGTCAGATCTAGTAAAAGAAGCACTTGGTGGTAGTCTATACCATGCGGTCCATGCCACCCTCTATGTATAACTTTGCGAAAACATACTGTATACAATTTAGAGTACATAGTTGTCGAACTCCTACAAACCACTGAAATAATCTGTCCGCACTCGCGAAAGGGACATACTTTTCTTCGACCACATCAACTAAAAGGGCCGCGGTAGGCCGATATGGGCCAGTTCCGCAGTGAAGGTGTTAACAA